AATATTAAGATTGCACTCTATTATATTAATTGATGAGTTTGGAAACTTTGATTGGACATAATGGTTAATCAGGTCAAATAAGAGAGTAATATAGATCAGTATGAAGTTCAGGAAGTCATTTCATGCTAGACTTTATAGTTAGTTATAGGTCATTGTTGTAGATGTTGAATACATGATTGTATTACCTGTCAATTGGTGTTATATGTAGTGTGAATGGGTTGTTAATTGTTGATTGTTTTTATTGTCGTATTGTAGTTCTTTTTTTAAAAAATCTTAATAAAGCTTTTTTAAAAAATAAAAAAGAAGTATGCCTTTGTTAGGGTTACAAAAATGGATTGTAGCAGTCATGGAGCTTTAGTAACAAAATAGCTTTACTTAGCAGAAGCAAAAATAACATAACAAACATAGCATTGTATCATTATAGCTGGATACAAGTAGGCATAGAAAAATATAAACAAACTCAGCATGAACAGCAAATCACACAGCTCTCAGCATACAGCTATCAGCAATGGCTCTCAGCATGGAAAGCATAACAGCTCCCAGTATGAACAGCAAAGAGCTTCCCCAACATGAAGAGCTTATAGCTCCTAATATGGATAACACTAGAACTCCCAACCTACATGCAAACTACCACAACATTTGTAGTCTGCTGACTGATTGGATTGCAGTCACCTGGCCTAATTGGCCAATTATCATGCAGGCTCACAAACACAATTTCATCTGCCCTTTACCATAGGACAGGACCAACCTAGCCTCCCTTGGAAGGGAATTCCACAGACCTATAAACATGAGAAGAGGAATGGTTAGCAGAAATAAAGATCCATCACTGGTGCTGTTGTAGAAATAATGAGAATGAGCATGGAGGAGAGGAAATTAGAAGAAGATATTTTAAAAAAGGGAAATCTAAGAACTTTGGCAGCAATATATATATATATATATATATATATATATATATATATTGCTGCCAAAGTTCTTAGATGGATTGATAGGGACTTCATTATTTCCTCCAGAGGGTCAGACATGGTCAGGGCAGATAAAAGTTTATGTTGAGAAGATCAGGGCAGGACAAGAACTTGGAGGAAACAGCTGTTTGTACACTCCAGTCCTGGATTTAAATAAAGAAGCAGGAAAAACAAGGTTTCATGTATACAGCAACTAACAAAACCACGTAAATATTTTTATTCAGAAGACTGCATCACTTCTATCAATTTGAGGAATACACAAAGAAATAGAGGGGGAGATGCAGTATATATATATATATATATATAT